TGGCTGCCGCATCCTAACAGTTGTCCTTTATCCCACGCTGGAACATGTTTCCAAACAAATGATCTTCACCTGTCGCTGGTGTCAGTGATTTGTTGATGCTGCCTCCCAGAAAAACAAAATAATTCATCCTCCAGAAGTCACTCTATAGTTCGACTGCTTTGGAGGGTTCGTGGTTACATATCATTTCTCGTATTTCTAGCTTCTTCCTTAATGGCAAACCTATGAGATGTTGCTATTCCTATAAAGTTCAGCTCATTATCGGTGGCTTCGGAACTCTAGGGCAGGTGGCCATGACGTGCACAGGTTGGCCGTCAATGGACGCACAAGGTCGCCATTTGGCGTTGCGACGTTACAACATCGAATGCTTTCGGATAGGAACTTCCGCCGAAACGCTCTATTTCACATTGCACTTGAAATGGCGATGCCAGTGTCTTGCACCCGGCAACAAGGGCCTCCATTCTTGCCTTTGAATTCAGTGGGACTGACATTCGTCTTCATGGCTAACAATTGCACACACAATCGTCACACGGCAAAAAAAACATCAGAAGAACGGTCTGCCTCAGCCAGGCAAGATGAGCACGATGGATATAAGAGCAATGGCGTGACCTGTACGTCTTTGACGATGGCTGTCGACTATGCGGTGCCCAAAACGATTTTTGGCCGCTGTTTCTTGAGTTCGAGCTTTAGACCAATGAAAACTTTCGCGGAACTGAGAAACGTTGTCAGTGCCTCAAAAGCTAGCCCACACTACAGCACCTGGTCGCCCACAGTGATTACGGATAATTGCTAACTGCCACAGTCCTGCGGATGGACAGAACGAATCTGTGCGGCGTGGTTTGGCGGGCCGCCAGGCAGTTCTCCATCAATTGTTCGCTGGTAAGCGCAACGACCGCTTCTAAACGACTCATACAGAGGGTACGGTGCAGTCTTGCCTATTGTCAAGTGAAATAAGAAACAGGCTGGGCGCCTCGGCCATAACTCAAGCCCTTGTGACTACCGCCCATCATCCCAGCGAAGACATCTGTAACAATGATATAGTTCGAACGATCCGACATCGGTGATGATGAGGCTCTGTTACCTTCACGCTAAACCACTGCCCTTTTGTAGTGGTAGCTTCAGACTGCCGCCTCCCTGAATCCGAAGCTATTGCCATTTTCACGTTGTTCCAGAAAATGGGGTCAGATTGAAACATTGGAAGAAGCGTACTACGTGACACGAGAAGCACGATAGGCATTATTGGGGCAATAAGATCGTTAAATGATTGAGACAATATGTGAGATGAATCAACCTTCTCACTCTTTTTTTCCCGTTCGCAATGGCTCGTCAGTTGTTCGATTTGCGAGGGAGTGTGGGGCGGAAGCCACATGGGATGACGCCGGAGAAGAGCTCATGCCTCTCTAGAACTGCTTCGGTTCTAGTCTTTTATAACTTCAACACTATGACTACTATTAGATCATTCAGAAGCTTGCAAGATTATTTTGCAATCATTTCATAGTATATCTTCGACCCGGTGAGAGTCCTACCAGTGATCGCTTCGTGAACGTTGATTATCGTACCGCAGATGATTTGCTCAAATTCACGCGTGCTTTGTAACGGCCATTTCAACAGTGAAGTTAATGACAGCGTTGGCTGTTAGCTATTCTCGCTGTAGTTATGCCCCAATATCCGACTTTTCTTCGTTCCTATATTTGCTGGCTGAAATAATACCACCCAATAGCTCCAGAGCATCCTGTCGTGTACATTGCAATGGTACAAATATTCCTAATGCTAAAAGAGTCTGCTAACCCTACTATTGTGCCACATTATTTGCTACATTCCTAACTTTCTCATGGTGACATCCTATCCTACATTCTGTGCTCAACTTTTACGTTCAAAGCTCCTGAATAATTCTGCAGTAATTTATCAAAATTTTGCTAAATCAAGGTAAGCGAAGTGCACCACAGGTCCAGTGCATGTTGAGATTTAGGGGGTGATGTCTCATTTCTCATGCTAATGAGGGGAAACATGTCGCATAGCACGTTAATGACAATGAAAGCATCATTGTAAGTGACGTCCTAAGAACGTCATCTATCTCTCAAGTACACTGATTCGTAACTGTGCTAGATCAACGTCTACGACCATCGTGTACTTATACCACTAAAGTGCGCTTAACGTTGTTTCAACATGACCTCATTTTCTGGACAGTTGAACATGGCAATAGGTGCGAAATTCGGGAGGTCGAGCAGTCTATGAAGCCCATTAGAGAAGTGATTGTCTCGTATTCTATGCAACAGAACCCTCTAACTAGCGACCGTCGTTGGTTGTTCAGTAACTATTATAGCACTAAGTTAATATGAGTGAACAGCTCAGGGATGGCATTTTGCACTTTTGCTATTTCCCATCGAAGTGTCGACCTATCTAGACAGCCTCTTCTCGAGTTGACAGGTTTTAACATGATGGCTTGACGACCTTGCTCCAGCTTCACAAGAGTTCACAGGTTTCGCCAGAGTGAGACTTGTAAACCGGAACTAAGGAAGCAATGATAGTACAAAATGCCCCCCCCCCCCGTCGCCGAACTGCGCCGTTCACTCGTAATACAAACCCTTCAGGAGTTCCTCTGGCAAGCAGTTTTAAGTGTTTTTAAGGTATAGGGGGCGACGAAAACGAGGCCATTACGGGTAGAAGCTGGGGCTAGCCAACCCATTTTGGACTGCACAACGTAGTGATCTATGGACTGGACTCTGACCATGAGGCATACTAGTTCCCACGAAAGTTCTTTTCATATCATCCCACCAACCGACCCTTTCCCACTAACAACATTCTTTATAACCAGATGCAGTTCATTGCCGAAAATGTTGAGTGATGCTTACTCAGAGGAGTGGGGTGAAGCATTTGTCACAGCATTTGTCCTCTAATCAAATTTATCAACGTGCGCTCACGTTTCAGAGGGAACCTACGAATTTTTCTCATTTTCGTTCCTGACCGTTTTGTAACGATTCAGTTGCAGACTCCCAAAATCAGGTTTTTCTTTTTCCACTAGTAGAGAGGTTTATTTGGAAACCATAATAAGTGAATGCAGATTCTTCGTGAATTCCAGCCGATTTCGCTTTTCGCCTTCAATTTATGGGGGTCTGGCGGTGTACAATTAATATTTCCATCCTACGGGAAGAGACTGAGTTGCCGATCATCGAAGGATTGAGGAACTCGTTCGTCTTGACGATACATGCATTGTCTTCAGCGTTAGAAACTCGTTTAACCTCCGGATTTTCGTGTTCCTCTCAGAGATCCCTAGCCTCAGGGTGCAGGTGTGCGGCGGCTTCCTTTCGGCTTTTTTTCACCAGTGACGTACCTCGTAGCACCTCGCTGTCACTGTTAAGCAGCAACGTGTCGCAGGCGAAAGTGTGCCTTGCAGTTGAGAGTAGTCTTCTACTTTCAGCTTTACACTTCACATTTTTACAGGTCGCCCTTCTTACTCTCGTAGATCCGATCTGGACTGAGCTAACGTGCGACTTTTTTGTGATGAGCTCATGAACAAGTTATTGTCGAGATCACCATTCGGGCGCAGTTTGGCGACGGCGGGCATCTTGCACTCCTATTGCTTCACTTGTTCTGGTTCACACGTCCCACCCATGTGGGAACCCTGTGAACTCTTGTGAAGCTGATGACTAAGCCGATCAAGCACAATGCGTAAACCGAGAGAGGCTGGTAGATGGGTCGACAAGTCGATGGAAACTGCTCGTGAGTGCGAAACCCTCCCCTTCCCCCCATCGCCAAACAGCGCCCACCATTCATATGCTTTGCAATGGTATTTTTGGGTTACAGCTGCACTTCGTTTGCGGGCCAAAGTAGCTTGCATTTCTCCAATACGCCATAAGCGCTTCTTCTACTAGAGCTACCGCAAGCAGAAGATTTTCAGATGGTTTTCTTTTTCGTTTCGACCGTCTAACCATACTGGACCAATGCGTTTCATCAACCCGAAAATGATAAATGACTTCATGAACAATCTGCCTATGTTTCTGGACCACCGTACATCAGAAGTTCTTCTCAACCTTACGGTTTCAATTGTTGTGAGTTCCTCAAGAGTACCTCCAAGCAGGGCACATCGTCGTTGGGGACGACAGTGGATCGTATTTGTTCTGAGAAATATTTTTTGATATTTGATTTTTCTTGTTTCACGGACGCTATAGGGGAGGGGCTCGTGTTCGCTCGTCGTGTCATCGTTGGGAGAAGGTGGGGGGGGGGTAAGTATTTGCCCTCCTGAGAGTAATTTGAAAAAATTTTCCTGGTTGTTGACTTTTCGCTGTTTTTCCCGTTTCGCTGCCACTACATACTCCCTTCCCCCCACCCCTGCTGGACTAGAGCACATCGCTGTTGGGGATTCAGCAACAGGGGGGGGGGGGTGGTGTGTGGTCTGGCGAAAATTTTTTCGATAAGCTGAATTTTTCTTGTTCACGGGAGGCGGTCGTATTCGCTCGTTACTGGAAAAAATTATTGCCTATTCCCGCCTCGCCACAGCTACGCCTGACGCTCGACAGCAAAACTTTTGGGCAAAACTAGGAAAAAATCTTGAGGAAATTCCGGCAAATGTGGCAGCAAGTTGGGAAAATTGAAGAAACGAAGAAAGTGGTCATTAGGGGGGGGGGTTGGTGTCGCGTACCAATCCCCTAAAAAAAGGGGTTGTACGGACTTGACCAAAATCCCAACCCATGATGTGCCCTGCTTCCAAGCCAGTTTAGTCAGCTTGAACTGTGACAGAATCAATACCTTTATAGGTTATAGCGTTCATCGCTTATCAAGCTATGACTCTTCTTGTACTTTCCTCAAAAAAGGAAGATCAAGAAGCCGTTGTTGTAAGCGAAGTTACACAGCGAACTCTTCAAAGGGACAAAGCATGTGGTGAAGACTCCTGCTTTGCTGACCTACACGACTACCTTTTTGTGGGAAAAGAAGTCTGATTTGTCACAGTTTGAAAATTACATGAGCCGAGGGGCTGACTGGGGGTAATTCAGATCCTCTACCATATGCCGTTCATGCATGAGCGTGAAATGCTCCGCGCTTCGCAGTATTTCTACGAACAAATGAGATTACGTCGGAGTGTACGAAGCTTCAGCAATAAAGCTGTTCCTCTGAAAATTGTGCAGAACATCATAAAGACGGCAGGTCAGGTCGTAAAGTTTGATTAAGCTTTTAATTTGGAAATGGTTGGGACTATTTGTTCATAACTATTTGTTGATGAGGCGGGTGGTTCTTTCAGGTTGTTCACCCAGTGTTGGTAACGCCCAACCGTGGAAATTTTGTGTTGTCGTTAATGAGCAAAGAAAAGCGGAAATTCGTGCTCTTGTTGAAGCTGATGCACGGGACAATTACGTACGTAGGTGCGTTTGATTCACATGTGCTTTTCATGTCCGTTGGTAGTATGAAAGCGAGCTTACTGAAGGCGAGCACTTTCTTGCACTTATGTGCTGTAACGCATAAACTATGAGAAACAATGTGGAACGCGAAATCAGTCGACACATGCCGCATCTGCTCTCCTTACAATTTCTCACTTTTTCCCCTTCGCGAGTGTTATGAAGGCTTTCGTCACTAGGTTGTAGCTATTTTAACACGTTGACGACAATATCGACAGAACTAAGCAACACTAGGTTTTAAGTTGTGGGACGACGGCGCAGGGTACAGCAAAACCCATCAATGGGGTCGTACGTGGCCGCCAAGCAGGGGGGGGGGTGGGC